TTTTACAGCTGCAACTGATTCCTTTTGCCAGCTTCGTTTTTAGTCCAGTACTGTCTCATTTCTGGTTTCGGAACATGTGCAACAAAAATATTACTGGGCCGCGCTCAGCCGGTCATTCCGCCTAATCTCTATGTTTAACAACATTGTTTAACAACATTAAAGCCTGGGGTCCTCAGGTAACAAAAATGTTGTAATGCCAATATAACGTGTAATTAATTGTATCACGTCGTAACCCCCTGTCATTACACAAAGTGGTTTTGTGGTGATCAGTACCTGGGGACCTCAGGCTATCATGTTCATAATAGAGATTCGGCGGAATGACAGGCTGAGCGCGGCCCAGTAAGGTGATCAAAGCCACGGATGACGAAGCCGCGCACTCGGTAGGGCTACAACGTGAAACAAGATATTATGGACTATTTATTTATAAAATTTAAACATTTAGAAAACAAGTCAGTTGAAGAAATATATTTTTTGAATAACGTTCACTTCTGCTTTAGAATTTTATTTAAATTTTGAATTGCGCTGATAAAAATGTAAGATTGAGACAAATCTTCGAGTAGTTCACTACTTTACCTGAGGACCCCAGGCTATTATGTTCATTAACAGTAATAAAGATTTGGCGGGCTGAGCGCGGCCCAGTAATTCACTACTATATTATTGTATCACGTGGTGACCCCCACTGTCGCTTCACTATAGTAGAGTTTCTACGATCAACGATACAGGGGGATCCGCGCACTCGTGCGCGGCGGGTCATACAACGTATGACAACTATATTATAGCAAAAAAGCTTATTTTACATTTCGTTAGCATATCCAATTATATTTATGAGTTTATTATCGGATGTTTAAGTTTAACTATGTTTATTACGATATTATTATTCATTGTAATATGGCAATAAAATTCAAATTTTGTTTTACTTAAAATAAATTTTGTTTTACTTGTGACTTACTTGACTTAAGTCGGCTTCTTGGTCCGAGCAACTACAATTCCTCGCCACACGTCGCGGTCAAGCATAACAGATCTTATCTCTTCAACACAGGAAAGGCTGGTGTCCTTCTTTAGCATGTCCAGAAACGTAAGGTGGGGCCTCCCCGGTCTCCTGTATCCATGCTGAGGGTCCCAGAACAGAAGTTGGTTTGCCAGAAGGTCGTCATGCCTGGCTACATGTCCAGCCAGTCTCATTCTTCTGGAGGCTATCATCGCTGATGGCTTGGGGATGTTGCCGTATAAATCACTGTTGTTGATGATTTGTGGCCAACGTATGTTCAAGGCCATCCGGAGCATTCTAGTGTAGCATCCATTGATCCGCTTAGTCATGGATTGGCTTATCGTCCAAGCTTCAGAGCCGTACAGGAGTACAGGCTCAACCGTTGCTCGAAAGACACGGATCTTTAAGTCCCTGCGCATTCCAGACTTCCAGGTTGTCTTTAACTGATGACAGGCCCCCCATGCCTTTGCTTTCCTAACATCAAAGTCCTTCTCCGCACTCATTATTCTGCTTCCAAGGTAGACAAAGTCATCTACTTGCTCTATCTCCTGCCCACTTGCTGCTTTAATGACGGTAGAGTCAGACTCAGAGAGATTGACTCTGATGTACTTCGTCTTACTCTCGTTGAGGTGAAGTCCAACGGAGTTAGCAGCCAGCTCCACACTGAGGAGAAGTGAAACAAATTTTTTAGTGAAACAAATTTAAAATTTTATCCTTTATTTTACAATCATAATATAATAATATTTATAAGCCTCCGTTTTGAAAGTTTTAAATTTTAATACATTCACATTTCTATTTAAAATTCAATTTTATGTACAAGTCAATAACTGGCCGCCAAAGCCGCGCATTCTTGAAAACAGGATTAACTTGATTATAGTTATACGACTATGTAAATTAAAAACTATCCGTGGTTTTTTCTTTTAAATAAATAAATTATAATTTTACCTAAGAAGATCTTGCGCTTGCTCTGCGGTGTCTGTTGTCAGTGCAAGATCGTCAGCAAAGTCGACATCTGTCATCTTAACTGCTGGGTATCTCCTGCTTCTACTGGGGTTGACAGTGAAGCCCAGATCTTTACCTCTAAGTGCTGTTGTCATCACATAGTCAATGACAATCACAAAGAGGTAGGGCGCCAGTGTATCTCCCTGCATAACTCCAGCAAGTATAAGGAAAGCTTCAGTCAGACCATCCTCCGTGATGACTTGTGCCATGGTGTCCTTGTACATAGCATCTATCAGCCTAACAATGGGCTCTGGTATCCCATATGCCAGGAGTATCTTCATCAATATGCCCCTATGAATGCTATCAAAGGCCTTCTTAAAATCGATGAACAAGAGAAGGGCGGTCAGGTTTTTGTCCCTAGCCCCCTCCAAGATCCTCCTTAGACACAGAATGTGGCTGGTGGTACTGCGTCCCTCCCGAAATCCGTTTTGGTTGATCCTCAGGATTTTCTCCATCGCTGGTTTGATTCTGTTAAGGATCATACGATTCAGGGTCTTACTAACAATGGACGTAAGAGCGATTCCTCTGTAGTTATCCACTTTAGTTAGATTTCCTTTCTTTGGCACAGGCACGATGTTGAGTTGCCGCCATTGATCAGGGATTTTTCCATCAACCAGAGCGCTGTTACAGAACTCTAGAATCAGGTCGTCCATGTCCACTCTTTTGAGAATCTCTGGAGCTATGCCATCATCACCATAGGCCTTACCCTCCTTGATCTGCTTCCTCGCCTCCGCTAACTCCTCCCTGCAAAACAGACCAGTCTCTATATCCTGCTGGGGGTGGATGGTTTGGATAACTATTTCCTGGTCAGGTACAGATGGTGGTTGACCCAGGAGCTTAGTGAAGTGGTCCTTCCAGCTCTTCAACCTCCCCTCTGCACTACCTCCATCAACCAGGCTGCATGGCTTGCTTTTCCTGCCATTTATGTCATTAATAAGGTCCCAACTTTCCTTATTTTTGCACCTGTCAGCAGCATCCTCAGCCCGCCTGATCCTAGAAGCAAGAGTCTCCTCCTCAACCTCTTTGTAGCTCACTGCAAGTGCATCCTTACACTCCTTAACTACCTCTCTACTCTCCTCTGTAGGATTTTCATGATATGCGTCTTTGGCCTGAAACAGAGTTCTCCTCCTCTCCGATACCCTAGGATCTTGGGAGGGGTTGTTACGTTGTCTTCTTGGGATGGGCTCCTCATGCACAATCCGGTGCTCTTGTACCCCTAAAACTGCAACTCTACTCTCAAGGAAGAGCGATGCTAACTCTATCCTCTTATACTGTTCCCTAACAGTACGAACGTTCAGTGTCCCGATGAACGTTTTCCTACTACACGACACAACGCTGCCACTATTACTGCTCTTCTTTTCCGGTTCTGTACTTATCCTGTTGTGTTGTGTTGGGTACGACAGTACATCATCGCCTGGCCCTCCCAGATTGTGTGGGCTAGTATTCCAAAATAAAAATTATTTCCTAAGACCAATTTTGTCCATTTTAAACATCACGTTCTAGTTATTTTAGAAAATAATTTGAAAATATATAAATTATGGCATGGTTTTTACCTACATTTTGATTGACGTTGTCAACCCTTCCAGATCGGCAGATCGTTGCTCTGCGAAGCGAAGCGCGGCGCGTCGAAGCGGTGCGAAGTCCTCCAAACATACATCACATTATCATGCTTATTAGTTTTGAAGCACGATCTGGAAACGAAATTTTAGCAGAGCTATACGATTTGAAACAAATTAGCATTGTTGATTGTTAAATTAATCAATGATCAAATTTTCATTCCATCGAATGATACCGTACCCATGAAGGTTTAAATGTCATTTAAATTAAATTTGGGGCTCACAGGTTCTTGTGATTTGCATGTGATCGCCGCATGATGTTTTGTAAATGCGCGGCTCACCTTCAAGCTTTAAATATTATTCACTTTACTGAGGCGCGACTTTATTTTTATGGTATGATATGATATGTTTTGATTGTTTTTAATAAATACCAAAATTGAAACTTCTTTCCTTAACAATTTTTTATACAATTAAGTCAATGAATTTCTCCCCGAGTTTAAAATATGAATGGTTAACATTACATAGTTTATGCAGCTGAACGAGAGCAAAAAAAATTGTTTGTTTTTACAAATTTAGCTTTCATTTTAGACTTCATGTCTCCCGAAATAAAACTGCGAACAAAGTGAAACAAGGAACTAAGTAAACTGTAAAACCAAATTTTCGTCACGCATTGGACTTTATCAAGGTAACCTTGAGCTAGAGCAGCAAACAATAAACTTGCATAAGCTAGGTAAAATATATTTGGGAGTATGTGACTGAGAAAGTTAGGCTTATGCTGGTCTAACAACTAAGAGTAAGACATAAGAAAAGACTATTTTTTTTTGCAGACATTAGTGATGATGTTATGTCATAATTTTTACTTTACTTTACTTTACTATTTAAGGATACAGTGAGGCGATGACATCAGGAAAAGAATAAATTTTGACTTGTTGAGAACAACAATTATTTCTCTTAGAGGAGAAAAAGGGATGATAGTGCAGTTAAAGTAGCAGATTTAGATACAAATTTACAGCCAGTGTATCGATTGTTTATTGTCATTTGGCTACTATACCTGATCACACCGTCACTCTCATTGGCACAGTTGGTGAACTGATCATTTCAAAAGTGGACTATGATTGCAATGCTCTAGACATAAATCTTTCAAGACTAGAGTGAAGAAGCTGCAATCTCCTATATCAAACGATGGAATAATCAATTTAATTTATAACATATACACAGTAAGAGGCTAGTTTATTTTGCAGTTCTGTTACTTGAGTAACAGCATACGGAGTCTTATGCAAATAAAATATTTAATGCACATGCTTCATTGTGCTGTTACCCAGGGACTTGATGGTATCAGGATTCTCAATGTTCTGAGTAATGAATTTAGTTTTCCATTCATTCATTCTTAGTCCCACTGTAGCAGCAACCTTTTCTACCTCTTGCATCAGCGTCTCTGCCTCCTTTAATACTTTCAACACTACTATATAACAAATAATTTGAGGTATGACACGAGGAGAGACAAAACGAACACGAAATGTCAAGAAAAGATCAGAGAAAACTGGTGCTACAGCAGAAAAGGATGTAACTGATACTTACTTGATACTTGATAAGGTCTCCTCAATCATTCAGTTAAACAAAAATTTCAGTTAAACAAAAATTTCAATTTTATGCCATTTATTACAGATTAAACAAGTTTACAATAAATCAATTTGATATTTAACGGAATCCTAATTCAATGTGCAGTATGGTTGTCACTCTTTAAATAGATTAGATATAGGTTGACGGGGCAAAGGAGTGTGCGTGCTGTTCGCTATTGCTCACACCAAAGGCAACCTAATTCGAGTGGCCTGCACCAAGGAATTGCCGCTTATGTCGTATCATCTCTCTCCAGTGCTTTCGGTTTCCTGCCAACTCTCGGACCTTATCAAATACAATGTCTGGATCTCCTGTGAATGTTACTGCGTCTTCTAGGACACAGGTTCACCAATTCTTTCTTGGCCTCCCACGTGATCTTCGGCCGTGAGCAGGTGTCCAATCAAATAGATACTTTGGTAGCCTGGTGTCCGGCATTCTAGAAACATGTCCAAACCAGCGAAGACGGTTGGCACTGATGTAGGTTATAACCGGGTTTATTCTTGCCCGCTCCAACACTTGAACATTGCTTGTCCGGTGGAACCACTTAATTCGAAGGATTCTCCTCAAACAGTTTTGATGAAAAACTTCGAAGCGATGTAGTTGCTTTGAAGTAGTGTTCCAGACTTCGCTTCCATAAAGTAATATTGTTAGAACCGCTGCAACATATATCCGTATTTTGGTGTTAGTTTGGATATTGCGATTCTTCCAAATATTACCGAGCTGATTGAATGCTCCTGAGGCTTTCTGGATCCGTGCAGACAAGTCCCGGTCAATAGTCCCATCACTTGATATAATCGACCCAAGGTAATTGAAGTTGCTGACTTGCTGGATAGCCGTGTCTCAATGAAACTAATAAATCAATGAAACTAATAAATCAATGTTTTAGCTCATTTTACAAAGTCAAATATTTAAAACAATTAAAATTGTATAGTGCTCAATTTGTAAATGACTAGTTGATCTTTGATATTGGAAGTTTGTCAAGGACTGGCAGCTAGCGGGGGCAAGGAATGCACGGGCTTAGGGGCTTTTGTGCACTCCAGAACACTAGCTCGGTAGATTTTTGGAAACTAGAAGGACTGAAAACTAAAATTGTTTTTGATGGAGGCTGAGGCATGTTTTTGAGAGGGACGGTATAATAGCTTGTGGTAACAACTGGCCTTTACTTTAATAGGATGAAGTTTTAGTTTTAGGACAGGAAGAAGGCATTAAGAAGATTTGCTCTTTGTTTACAAGGCAGAATATAAGCAATGTTGGTTATAATATGTATCAATATCTAGATCTTCGTTTATCAATTTTCACTAAATGGGTTTAAAATTTTAATAGGGAGGGAAATTCATCAACTTTATTAAGTACCTATCAAAAATAAATCTTATATCAATGTAATATATTAAAAATCATAATCCTAAGTCTAATAATAAATCTGTTAAAAACACTTTCTCACTACACTGCGCTCACACACGTTAGTAAGACAAAGGAAAATGCACACCCAGCTAATTTTCAATTTCAAGATAATCATTTTGGATGTGTGGACCCTAGGGTAGACTTAATGTCAAAATTTAGATTAGAGCATTCGAAATCTTTGTTTGTCCAATCAAGATCAGCATGGTTATGCTGGTTGACGAGCAGTGATTGCTTCATCCTAGACTTCAGGCAGGCCACACTTAGACAGTAGTCACGTATACCAAGCTCAGGCACAATTACGTTCCAAATACGACTCGTTCTGCTATTGAAGTTGTCAGGGGGGTCTGCTTGGCTTAGTATAAGGGTGGGTTTCCTACTTGAGCAGGTGAAATTTTCATGGAGGGAAATCGGAGCACGGAATTTCATGATTTTATAGAGCTCAAGGAAACAATGGTAAGTGTACAGGTTTTGGACGGCAAGTATTCCGTGTTCCTTGAACAAAGGTTTCGTGTGCTCTTTCAAGAAAAATTTTTTGTTCAGATTTTGGTTGCCAAACGGTCGAGCACGAGCACAGGTCTTAAATTTATCAAGGTATGCCTCCCTGTCGCCAAACAGTACCCTGAGACAATATTTTTGTGCTTTGAATACAGAACTTATACGAGTTTTGGCTGCCCCACCCCAAACCGTGATACAATAGGAGAGGTGTGATTCAAATAGAGTGTAATACAACTGGCGGTGTAAGAAATCTGGGAGGGAGCAGCGTAGGCGGCAGAGAGTTGATGTTGCATGGCTGAGAGAACGCCTAAGTGATTTTATATGTTCTTCCCAGGTTAGCTTTTCATCGGTGTCTACTACTGTAATGTCCACTGTTGATGCTTCAGTATATGGCCTCTGTGATGTATTCTTGCCGATGGCCATAACCTCTGTTTTCTTCGCATTGATTCTGAGGCCAGCCTGAGCCGCATACTTGCATAAAAGATCAGTCGTCTCCTGGAGACCGTCCTTGGTGTTGTCCATGATAGCCAAATCATCTGCATAGTCAGTATCCAGGACGACTGTATCCTGACCAGAGCTGGTGGTAGCTCTCTGCAGCACTGCCCCGTGTGACAACACTTTGTTATCCTCAGCCCGCTGCGCAGGCAGGTTGATGCAAACATTAAAGATAGGTGGACCCTGAATATCCCCCTGCCCAGAACCAGATGTAACGTCAAACCACTCAGAGAGCTCGCCATTATGTCTGACAGCGCTGACGGTGCCGCAAAAGAATGCTTGCATTATGCGAATGTATTTACAAGGCAAGCCATAATGACTGAAAGCTTTCCAGATTAACTCCGGATTAAGTGAATCGAATGCCGCTTTAAAGTCAACAAAATTTATGTAAAGGGGGAGATTAAACTCAATGCTGTTGTGAATAATAGTACGGAGCGAATAAATCTGATCTATGATGTAACTGAAGATGAAGAAAATCGTAGTTGTGAATGCAGCAGGTATATGGAAGAGCAGTTTTCATTAGCTTGTGCATCTTGTGATATGTACTGGCATTATTGCTATGTTGGACTGACAGGTCTGACACAAGGAGAAGGCGACTGTCTGTCTAACTGGCATTGTCAGAATTGTTTCATATCACCTTACATTAAAAGCAGAAGGACTCAGACCTCTAACCCTGATAAGGAAGAAACAAAAACACTCCGGAATGTTATTAGGCAGGAACTTGAGGCCCTTACACCTTGTAACAGAGGGATTGTTGAAAATGCAGTGAACGAGAACATTCCAACTGAAAAACCTAAAGAAATATCAAAGATAGTGAACCAGGCTTTCCCGTCCTGGGCTGATGTTACTGCTAGCAGTCAGAAGAAGGTTATTGAAGAAATGAGTCTTGAACAGGCTTCCCAAAGTGTTGTTACAAAAGTTCAAACAAGGATGCAAACAGACTTATATGAACGCAATGCACGAAAACTTAATCATTGTGTTGTAAAAGTCCCAGTCTAAGCAACGGCAGGAGGATGACTTAAAATTTTGCGTGGAGACTTAAAAGATAAAGAAGAACGACTTTGTCAGTTAATTACTCTGTAGATTTAATTACGAAATCTCTTAAACTTAAGAATCATGTTTTAAGAATATTCATTGACCTAAGCAAAGCTTTTGACACGATCGACCATTCAACACTTCTTATAAAATTAGAGGGATGCGGAGTGAGAGGATTTGCAAATAACCTCATACTACTTGACAAACAGGCAACAATACACCGAAGTTGTAGGAGAAAAATCAGATACCCTATCTATTCAATTTGGTGTCCCGCAGGGTTCAATTCTTGGCCTCTCCTATTTCTTCTTTATATGAATGACATCACAAACAGTGCTAAACTAGGATCATTTGTTACCTTTGCTGATGATACCAATATATTTGTTGTCGGCAAAACAAAACGTGAGGCATATGAACGAGGAAATGAGCTTTTGTCATCATTACAGTCTTATATGAGAGCGAATAAGTTACATATAAACATGTCCAAGTGCTGCTACATACACTTCAAACCCACCATGGCAGGTTCTAAGTCAGAGATTTTATCACACCCTGAAGTTGTACTAACTATAGACAACTTTCCAATCAAAAAGGTTTCATCCGCAAAATTTCTGGGTGTTATAATTGACGAGAACCTATCATGGGAAGATGACATTAAAGCTCTTAAGCGAACTCTAAATCATTCCACATCCACTTTATATAGACTTCGCTGCTCCCTTCCAGAATTTCTACATCAACAATTATACTATACCCTGTTCGAATCACATCTTTCTTACTGTATATCTGTATGGGGTGGGGCAGCTAAGCAACGTATAAGCTCAATATTTACTGCTCAGAAGTACTGTCTCAGAGTACTATTTGGTGATAGGCTGGCGTACATTGATAAGTTTAAGACTTGTGCACGTACTAGGCCTATAGGACACCAGAAACTTGACCAAACATTTTTCATAAAAGAGCACACCAAACCTATATTAAAGCATAATAATATTCTAGCATTACAAAATCTCTATACATACCACAGTTACCTCGAGCTCTACAAGATAATGAAATTCCGTGCTCCAATATCCTTACATGAGGGTTACACATGTTCGTCAAGGAAACCCTGCCTTCTAATCTGTCAGGCAGACCCACCTGACAACCACAACACTAGATCAACCAAAATTTTTAACATTTTAACCCCAAAATTCAGAATGACTGACTTTACTTCTAGTGTAATGTGCTTGCGAGGAAAGCTAAAACGTGCGCTATTAGCCAATCAACATAACCACGCCCTGCTTGATTGGACCATAAAAGATTTTGACTGCACAAATGTTATTTTCCAAACATTATAACCGGCTGGTCACACACATCTCAATTAAATTCCCTAGGCTACTGTTTTCCAAGTCTTGTCCTGTGAATAAAGTATGTGTGAGAAAGTTTTAATAAAATAAATGTATATTTTTGAAT